AACGCAACTCACGTTGTTCCCTTCTCTGTTCCTCCCCACGTGCCCTATGATGAAGAGGGGTGGGCCTCAATGCCCATCGGGTTTGTACCTTTCTTCTGTTTCCTCCACAGCCATCGTAGCCACCCTCCCACTCCCTGCTGTTCCACCTCTCCCTCGGAATCAGAATCCAACAGGGACATGACAATGACCTTGACTTAGAAGAAGAATGCTGCTCTTCTGTCTAACCACATACACTCCAAGAAACTCCCCCGTTCCCATTTTCCCAGGCTCAAGAAAGTGGCAGCGTGGAAGCGCCTGGTGCTAATACGACTTCCGAAGCTGACACGCTGCTTGTATCCCAGAGACAGGAGATCACTTTTGCAGCCTTTTTTCTCATAGTCTGCAATGCAAACACGAATATGACAAATGCTTCCGTGGTGGAACTCAACATATTTTTTACTACCGGTTCTGTGGGTACGCACTTCACTCCTGACCGGCGCTACCAGATCGCTCGAACCGGAGCGAACCGGCATCGTAACCGTCTCTGAAAGGCTTCCGGATGTAACGTTCCCTTCTTGTACGTATTAGATTCATTTCCCATCAAGATGAACAGCCTGGCAACATTTTCCCCGTGGAGTTTGTGTCGGAATCAAGGCTCGTACCGCAACAGCGCGTGCGCCGCGACATTTTTGTGCATTTGGTGCACCGGGGATTTTTCGGGAGCCAACCCCAAGTAATAAACACGAGATGTGACAAACTCATTCATCATCCTGGCTTGGAAGAAAACTTTACATTTTTTAAAACCGATTATGGATCTGAGAAGAGCCCGCGTGCTTGTGCGCACGTCTATATCTAGGCCTTTGATTGTATTATATATAACGTATATTTGATTATGTTTGAGACATGATATATCTCACTTATCAGATGATAAATGACAGTGAAATTGACCCTCCGACCTTACAAAAATGAAAGCAGGCAGGGCTATTCTTCATTTTTTATTTTATTTTTATTTTATTTTCCCTCCTAAAACAGATGGAGTGACTTTAAAATATTAAACAGCCGCTCCCAGCATTCAGGATTTAGAGAATTTGAAACAATGGCCTATCGGGAGAGTCGTGGTTAAGATGGCATATAGGGGTTGAGGTTGGGAAGCAGAAACTGACCAAATAGCCAACCGTAAAATTATATTTCAGAAGCCAATCCATGCATGATAAAACATTGGCTTTGGTTGAAGTGGTGACAGTAGAAATGAATAAATTAGAACAAGAGGGATGATGTGTTGCTGAACCTAAATACAGCCAAGTCCTCAGCTCACAATAGCTACATTAGTGACTGTTCGAAGTTACGATGAGTTGTAAGTGACTTACAACTGATCCTTGCACTTACAACCATTGCAGTGTCCCCACGGTCAGCGTGATCAAATTCAGATGCTCGGCAACTGGTGTGTATTGATCATGGTTACACCATCCCACGGTTGGGTGATCATTGTTTGTGACCTTCCCAGCTAGCTTCCTGCCAGCAAAGCCGGTGGAGGGAGCCTGGATTCACTTAATGGCCGCTTCTCTTACTTCACAACAAGTTCTGTAGAGAGAGAGGTTTTTTTCCTGCAGACTGGAAGGTGTGTGGTTTCGCATGCTGCCTGCATCCCACGGATTGGGCCTCGCTTGTTGGCGCGGCCCAGTTTTTGGCATATCATGGCGGCCTGCTGCTGCTCCACAGATATGGCGGTTGGCAACCTCTGTGTTAAAGCATTTACACCAGAAGTGTCAAACTCAAGGCCCATGAGCCAGATCCAGCCTGTTGGGGGTATTTAGATCTGGCCCGCAGGGCTGTCCTAGAAACAGCGAAGGACCGGCCCGTGGTGCCTCAGCCAATGAAAACGGAGCTCAGGAGGGCTGCACTCAGTTTTCGCTGGCAGAGGGTTGCAGGAGGCCGTCCCAGCCTAAAACGGAGCTCGGGAGGGCTGTGTGTGACTGTGTGTGGCCCTCCTGAGCTACGTTTTTGCTGGCAGAAGGTTGCAGAAGGCCGTCCCAGCCAAAAATGGGGCTCGAGAGGATCATAAGTGGCCATATGTGGCCCTCCTGACTCCATTTTCGCTGGCAGAGGGTTGCAGGAGGCCGTCCCAGCCAAAAACAGAGCTCGGGAGGGCCCTGTGTGACAGTGTGTGTCCCTCTTGAGCTCCGTTTTCGCTGGCAGAGGGTTTCAGGAAGCCGCTACAGTCAAAAACAAAACTCGAGAGGACCGTGCGTGGCCGTGCATGGCCCTCCTGAGCTCTGTTTTTGCCAGCAGAGGTTGCAGGAGACCATCCCAGCTGAAAATGGGGCTCGGGAGCCCCATTTTTGCTAGCAGAGTTCTCGGGCCACCACAAGCTCCCCCAACATAAGTGACATCCCACATCCACCCCGGCCCCTTGAGCTCAAACACAACCCTGATGCGGCCCTCCATGAAATCGAGTTTGATACCCCTGACTTACTCCCAACCAATTCTATTGATTTATGGATTACTTTTATATGCGCTTCCGTCTCAATTTTTCCAGCGACTCCAAGCAGCTTGCAATACTAAAGAAGCATAGTGTTGTGGTTCGCCAGCAGCCTGTGCAGACGGGAGTGGAATCGGATAGTGGGGAAGAACGGGGACCAGTCCGGGAGTCTGGGGAGGACTCAGAAGAGGGTCCTGCGTTCGATGCAGAGATGGGGCCAGGACCATCTGGGAGTTATGTGCTGCCTCCAGAGCCTGGCAGCAGCGAGGCAGAGGAACAAGGGGAGCCTGTTCCCAGTGCGCATATGCACAGAGCTGCCAGAAGGCAAGAGCAGCTGAGACAAAAGGGGCAACTCCGGGTGTAAGGCTTGGAGGTGATTGGCCCTCCCATATGATATAAAGGAGATGCAAAGGGACAGGAGCCTTTGCAGGAAGCAACGTCGCTCGCTCTGCTCGGATTAAACCTTGAAGCTCTGTGTGGACTTTGTACTTTGGTTGGTTTTTTTATAGTTCATTTGGCACTTTTGTTGTTGGCAGCAATTCAAAGGAGAGAAAGGTGGGTGCTTATCTCGAGGGACTCATTACCGGCTGGGAATGCACATAATTCCCAGCATTGAAATAAAACAAGAGTTGTTTGGACTAAGCGTGAGCTTAATTACAGCCTCGGGAAGCCTTGGTCCGAACACATAGATGCAAAAACATGACAGTCAGGTTTTACCGCAATTAAATAACGAAAGGATCGATTGGGCAGCTCTCCGCATCTGACGTTCCTGGGAAAGGAAATGGATTTATTTAATTATAAAGGGGTGTGTGTGTGTGTGAAGTTGCTCTAGTAGTTCTTCATTCTAAAATCTATCACTCCCAATAATACTGATTTATACCGGATGAGTCACTCTAGGAAAATTGCCTTGTTTTCCTTTGCCTTCTGCCTTCTATTTCTCCGCACATTCTGCACCCGGAGGCTTAAATGGGCCCTCGGGTAAATCAGGCCGGGAAACGCGCCTCCTCATCCCACGCTGAGAATCAACAATTGTTTTCCAACAAACCCATTTCCCTCCCACCCACCCCCCAATTTCCTACTGAGTTTCTGTTGTGTGGGCACCTTGGTGGATAAGGGAGTGGAATTGTTGCACGTGCTTTTCCTTGGGGGGGGGGAGCCTAACGGGGAGACGTGCGTGATCTGTAATTACAGCCTGTTTTTTTTTTTAAAAAAAAACCAAAACACATAAAGAGGTCACTGTTAAATTGCTTCTCCACCCCCCTGGAAGACTTTAGGGAGGATGAAAAGGGCTCTGCAGGATGACGTCTTTCTTCCGTTCCATATTGACAACCATAATTGATTCCTTTGGCGGTTTAAAAAAAATAAAATAAAATCAAAGCACACTTGGTAGGTTGTTATTCCTCTTTTTCCTTCTCCTCCTCCTCCTCCCATCCTCCTCTTCCTCCTCTCCTCCTCCTCTTCCTCT